TTCCAGACACTGGAAATTTCCTTGTATATGTGGAACTCTGTCTGGTTTGGATACTCTTAAAGCAAGGTGATGGGATTCCACATAACTCCATTTCCAGGAGCTGCCAAACCACTAGATGCTGTTCAAAACCTTCACCTGAAAAAAAAACTACTCTGAAGGTGTGGTTAATAATAATAATAATCCTTGCATTTGATATAGCGCTCTTCACATCGGGTGGATGTCCAAAAGCGCTTCACAGAACACACTGGAAAGTGAATTGACTGTATATTTGTGGGCGAACGTGGCAGCCAATTGCGCACAGCAATGTCCCACAAACAGTCGTAGATTGAAAATGACCAATTAATTATTGTTTTTGGTTTTGGAGGGATTATTATTAGGCGTGTGGAGTAAGGAAACTTGCCCAAGGTTTCGCCCTGCCTGGAATTGAACTCAGGTCTCTCGCTTGCAAAGCGAGTGCTCTAACCACTAAGCTACAGGACTCCACTTTAATGGTGGTTAAAGCAACCACCATCTAATCTTAGGTAATCTGATTGTTCTTCTAAATAGTCTTTAAATTTATTTTAGCTAACAAAATAACTAAAATTATGCCCAAAAATGTAGAGCTCAAAGGAGTAATCAAACAGGTTTTTTTATACATTTTTTGCAGGAATGATAATTTCACCACATTAAACCATTTTCTTTTTGTCTTTCACAAGCTTTCATTACTTGATGCTGAAAGTTCGCCTCAGACGCCTTTAGCAGCTATGGATTCTGGATGCAAATCCATGTTGGGTATTACAAAAATGGTGCCAACAGACTCTCTCTCAAATTTGAAGAAAAAAGGACTTAGTTTCTTGTCTCGGGTTCCTTCTCCACCTCGGTTGTCTCCCCTCTACAATTCTGTGCCACAATCTGTACAGAAAGGTTTTAGGCCACCTCGGATCTGTATCACACCACAAAGCAGCACAAAAGTGAAATCAAAAGAGAGCAGTAATGTACAGACACCATCTTTGAGTAGAGCAGCAATTTCCAAAATGACTGAAGTAAACTGGATTCCAGATGAGGAGCTTGCAATGATAAACACACAGGACCTTTGTGACAACTTGGTAGACAATGAAATTAATAGACAAAAAATCAAAAGGGAACAAACAGTCAATTGTAAAGTTCCTGCTGTATTGCTTCAAAATGTTAAAAATGACTTTCATTCTGATATAGAACTTCAAAATTCCAGTGCAGCAATAGAGTCTACAAATCATCTTGTTGCATCCCAGTCCAAAAGAAAGTGTACTGAAGGAACTATTACTTTAAATACATGTGAAGGTGTTTATCAGTCAGAAGAGAATGTCATAACCCAAAACCATGAGTATGGAGGGGATGAAGTACAGCATCAACCAGGCAAATTGTTGCTTTGTCGCAAGAAACCGCAACAGAGATGGAAACGTAAACGTTATTGACATTGAATTAATCCTGTTAACTCGTCACTCCAAGGGAAAAGGACTCAGTGACGAGTTATCCGGTTTGGTGAGTAAGGCATATGTAGAAATACATAAATAAATGAAGCTGGGATATTGACAGAATGATGATTTAATTGGTAGTAACAATTTAAGCCAGGGTCAAGTTATCAGGAGTTTGTTGTAACTTGCATTTTAGTTTCTTTGTGTATTTTGGATGTGGGGATCATTGGCTTTCTTAGTGAGAATATTTGAGTACAGATTTATCAGTTTTGTTGACACTTGACAAATGTCATAAACACTATCTGCTGCAGAAGGCATTAAATTAAAATAAATTAATGCCATGCCATTTTATTTGCCTCATTTGCCTGTATATGACGACAACATTTTTATGCCTTGTTCAATTGGTAACACTCTCCCCTCCGAGTCAGAAGGTTGCGGTTTCAAACTCCATGAACTAACATCATCTAAGCTGACAAAAGTTCAGAGCTGGAGGTGCAAGCCTTTGGTTCCATCTGTGACTGTTCAGGTGGCACTTTAAAAGATAGCATTTTACTATTTGAAGAGAAGGGGTTCTGGTGTTGTGGCTAGATATTAGCAAATAAAATTGTTCAACTGATGGCTGTTGGTGGGACATGCTGTGTGCAAATTGGCTGCTACTTTCACCTACAAAATAATCATTAAACTTTACAGCATATTCCAAGTATTTTGAGATGTCCTGAAGTGAAATGCCAATACAAGGTTTATTTACACCAGAACAAACCAATCCTTCAGGAAATGGACTGGTTTCTCATCAGCATGAATTAGTTGGGCTATATGCCCGTTTGTGTATTGTGTCTTTCTGTAACCCATTACAAATTGATCCGTTTCCAAGTAACCCAATGCCTGAAAAATTGAGTCATTTCTTGATGCACCACTTGCATTAGTGCAGCTACTTAATACTGACCCTATAGGAAAACCACGCTATGAGAGCCGTTGACAATGGGATTGATTCAAAAAGCTAATTGCGGTTTTGCATTTCAAAAATGGATGATGTAACCACTCGACAGGGAAGAAACTTCAGGAATTTAGTGCACTGTAAGGTTTATCCGGCTTTTTAAGGTTCTTAAAAAGCCAGATAAACTGCTGGACAGATGGTGAATTTCACAATTAAACTTTGTTTTGTTGTCACTTATTCTTAATCAGAGAAACTAGAAGGAGCAGATTTCAGGATTGTTATACACTAACCTTACACAGCCTGGCTGTCTTCATCCTGGTCTTTGTCTCCACACACTTCTGAGCAGTTTAAACCTTTCTTCATCGTCTGCCTCTAATAGATCTTTGGACAATTCTGGATGCTTCATTGAAATTAGTCATTTCTTTTATGAGTTAATTAATTTACTGTGATAGTCAACATCCTCATGGGGGAATGTTACAAAAATAACACATTTGTATACCAGCAATTGAGATGTTTTGATTTGAAAAGGTGCTATAGCAATTGCAGGGATTATTATTTCACCAGAATATTTTGTGAGATCTCTGCAACATCGAGACGTTATCTATCCACTTGTTCACTTTCATTGATTTCACTTATACATGAAATATTGTTGTCTACAAGCCAACACATATAGCTGCAAGAGCCTAGAGAGATGGTTTTGAAACAAGAGGTTAAGAGAGTTTGTAAACCAAAGCAGAGCCTGGAGGTCGAGACATTGCAACAAATGAAAACTTTTATCATTAATTCAATAGATGTAAAATAAAATCAGCAGCAATTCTTATTAAGGGTTATCAACCCTGGGGACAATCTCTTCATTCTATGTTGGAACATAAATTGGCGTTTTAACTTGCTGAGCTTGCCACTATTTTATTACATCATCCAGATTGTTTAATCCTAGTTCCCTACCTTTGGGAACACTACAAATGCCACTATTCTCTGAACTCTTAAACCTTATCAAAGCCTGAAATTATTCCATTTGTGATTCAGCTGTATTTCTGCAAATAATAGCATTAGGCTCCCTCAATTCTAAATGGCATGTTATATTTCACTCATTCAGCTGAAACAAAACTTGTGCACTTTTGATTTCATGAATACCCTGGGAGTTGCAAAAATAAAAAATATTGGCATGTAAAGTCCCAAGAAATTTTAGAAGGTAAATTAGATTCACTATTTCTCCCTAGAGGATTTCTTTGCCAAATGCACATTTTTTTAAGATATTAACTTATACTAGCTCAACCAAAGCTGCAAAATGAGCCATTGTGTGGTTGTCTGGCAATCTAAAGAAAGACAGAATTAGAGATAAGTTGCAGCTTCTTCGTGAGCTCAGAGTTAAATCCATTCGAGAAGATTATATGTGTATTTATAGGAAACAAGTGTTTAAATTCATCAACAACTTTCATTTATACAGCACCCGTCATGTAGGAAACATCTCAAAATGCTGCACAGTAGCAGGGTTGGATGCTAAGAAAGGGATAAGAGCGAGAGGTGACCATAGGAATGATTGAACATAAGTTTTCAGGTGGATTTTAAAGACAAAGAGGAGTGAGGCGCAGGGATAGAGGGAGCGAGATCGGGGGTGTGGGGCACAGTGGCTGAAGCTGATTGGGTGAGATCTGGGAACACACAGCAAGCCTGTGTTAGCTAAGGGAAGGGAGCTGACAAAAATATACGTCTGTAACAGCCTCCCTGCTTGTCTCAAGCAGCCATGACCTGTCCCAGACTGTTTTTTTGTGAGAAACAACTGATAAAGAGCTTTTGCAGGAGTTATTCTGCAACCCGTGTGTTTTTCGGTCTTGTGACAGGAGAAAGTTATTGTGATGGCTCCTTGAGGCTGGATGAGCAAGGGTCTTTGATAAGCGGTTGTGAAAACAGTGATTAAGGAGGCCTGAAGAAATGCAAAGAGGTTTAAAAAGGAAAGATTTTCTAAAAACCATGAACTGAGGTTGAGAATACAGTATAAAAGTGGTGAACACAATACATCAGTAAGAGAGCAAGACACTGCCAGTGAAGGAGAAAGATCATCAGTCAACACATAATCAATGTACACTAAATACACCATCTCCCAAAGGAATGATCTCGATTGTATGTATAATATAACAGCTTAAAAATATTGCTTTGGTTGAATAACGTACCAACATCATTTTGAGATCCTCTGGTTAATCTTGTTGTAAAACTTACAATGATGATGACTTTTAAGTCAATCCCTGTCTCTGTAAAGAGTCAGTGGAAGAGGATGATGGATGTGTGGTGTTTGATTTGATTGTGCAGTTGTATTAAGAAATTCTGCAAGTTGTTGTTGAGAAATTATGTTTTTATTAGTGCCTAATCATGTTGAAATATCTCAGTGATCTTTGTAGTAATTCCCCTTGAATTTAGTAACAGATTATGATGACAAACATGGCAGCTATTTACCCCACAAGCTCTCACAAACAACCATGCAATGAATGACCAATTGATCTGGTAGATTGTTGTCCATAACAGATGGAGAAGCGCTCATAGTGATTCTTTCTGGGACAAACTTGGCAGTAAAAAACAATGAAAGAGCATAAGGCCAACAATTTCTAGAACATCCAGTGAGACTCGTTCAAAAGAGGCAAGCTATACACAACTTTAATTCTGTTCCAATTATTTCTCAATAATTATAATCTAAATTATACCCATTGTCAAAGACTGTTGATAAATTATTGTTAAAATAACTCATAGAGTGCACTTTGTTACACAACAGTTATACCTGACAGTATTTGAAATGTATTTATTCTAAGTTGTACTTGGTATTTTAGTAGTTAGGAACATAAAAATTTCTAGGTAAAAAAAGACCAAGGTCCATCTAGTTTGCCTTCCACCATCCTGGTATTCACATTCTACAATAACAATCGAGATGTTGACTAATCATAGCAATCAAATCTCTATCAATTAGTCTACATAGACTCAGGCACGAGGCAAAGGAAAACCTGACAGTGGTGGAAAGTTTTGGGAACCAAAGGTCCAAAGTTGCCTGTCTCTCCCAAGGATACTACACTTGCCATATGTCAAGATATTCCAGTGCCTGTCCAATAGCAGAATACCGATATCCCATTGACTCAACGGGACAGGAGGTGAAGTCTCAAAAATGCCCAACTTCATTTTATCTAAATAATGAATCATATATGAGATTGAATTATATTCAATTTCAATTCCAGGTTCCACAAGATTATTTTGTGCTCCGGGTTAAACATGTTAAAAAACAAAGTAACAAAAATTAGGAGAGGAAGAAGAAAGAAACACCTCTGAGAAATACGAAACCTTGTGGAAAAGCTTGAAAAATATAAAGTGCTTTCTCGCTTGGCAATTGCAAGCAATGTTGCAATGGCAATGTTAAAACTTGACTACATAAAAACTAGTTTGAAAATCAATAGAAAAGTTATTAAAAATTTGAACGTTAAAAATGTATTTCAATTGCAATTAATTTTACCAGACAAGATCACTGGTGGAAAAAACAAACATATCCTGCAATTGGAATACTCAATCTATAAATGCTGATGAAAACACACAAGATCGTTTTGAATTTTACAGCACCTGAAGTAGAAGATGGAATTTCTGGTTGATGTGGACATTTAAAAGAGTTAATAAAATTGTATTCAAATACTGAGTAAAAGCACTGGTCATACTAGCTCAACTACTTTATGCACTTGTGCAGATCTCCATTACCATTCTTTACTGACGTGCAGTTGCTATTTTTTTAAAAAGATAACATTGCTCTACAACATAGTTTTATCACGTATGAAAATTAAAATCGGTTTCTGACTCTACTGTTTCTGGTGACTCTTTGATTCGTGTGACCTGTATTTGAAGGTGGAGCGCCTGAGTTTGAATAACTTGCTCCAGAGCAATTCCAGTTCCTGCCTCCAAATCCAGCTCGTTGGCAACTTTGGGATCGGTTATTTCTGGCTGGTCTTTCAGCATACAGCACGTCATTAACACTGACGTTCCACTCATACTGTTCCTTCATGCGTTCAATTTTTTCTCTTGAGACACCGTGAATGTTTCTTCTGTAATCATTAAAAAAAATTGGATTTACAAAATGAAAACTTATTCATATAAATCAATAAAGTCAATACATGTAAACGTGTCTATACTGGTTATTAGTATTAGACGGCCAAAAATACATTTCAAATTATAGATGAAATCAAAAAGCAGAACAGTGAAATTTAAGGCTATGTCATGGAAACATGAACATTTAGATTGTATATAATTATTTTTGGATATTTTGTGCTACAATAAATTCTTATTTTTCAATTAGAACATTGTTGGCCTTTGATACCTTCCCCCCTAAATGGGTTTAGCAAATACATTCTATAAATAAGCTGTCTAACAAAATTTAACCTAGATTTTAAAGATGCTACTTTTCACTAACAGCTGTCTAATTTGGTTAAACAGCACAGAAGAACTCTATCATGAGAAGAGATGGAAAGGGATACTATGAAAACTGAAGATTATACTGGAGTAATCTCCTTTCTTTGACAGCAGTATCTTTAGACATTGAAATTATAATGCTAAGAACCCTTCAACATACACACACATATAGCTCAAGTTTGGTGTGTTAAGTGTTCCAAGCAAAACTATTAATCTTCAGAACACCAATACGTTCAGGAAATTTCAGCTTCCCTGAGCCAGCGTAGTTTTTGTTTAAAGGTTTTCAGCTCACAGATTGTCAAGTTAAAACAAACTTTTAGAGTAATTATGCAACTTATATCAGGAAAAGTTATTGTAAAGCTATTAAAATATATATTCATATATGTTGCATATGAAGAACACACCAAACAATACCCTCTACTTTTCCACTGCCTTCTACAACAACAACTTGCATTTATACAGCACCCCTCACCCAGAGAAGTGTCCCAGTGCACGCGTTCATAGCACTCATGTTGACAATGCTGTGCTCGAATGAGTTTAAAATGTATTTCAAGGTCACTTTGTTCATTCAAAACAATGTATCAGAAGTCACATAATTGTTCTGGCTATAACTTATTGATCAAGGAAACGTTTGACACAATTAATGGAAGCAACACAGAAAATGCTATTACAGGCTGACATCGTACCTAGACTAATTAACTCTTTGGGCTAAAACCTTATTTGACACTTAAGCCTATTTGTTACTGTCTTTGTCGCAATGTTTTTACAATGTAATAAATTATCAATAAAATATGCATTTATACATTATGATCAACAGCCAAGTTCACACAAATGTTTAAATAGTTACAAACATTCTAAAAAGGTGATCCCAAAGATGAAAACTTGGCAGTGCAAACCTGTTTCACTCAATATGGCCTTATGCTGTGTTGATATCCTAAAGAACTCTATCAACACAATTGCCAGTGTGCTAATTCATCTTTATTCCACTGTAAATACCATACGTCAAAGGAACAGAAGATTCCTTGGCCGCAACCACACATGAAAGCTTCAAATGGCTAAGATGCTGACTTTCGAGATCCAATTAAGGGCCTCAAACTGACTAGGAATTAACTTAGCTGCAATTGTAATAAAAGGTAAATTTAAAATGTAATCGCTTTCTGCTCAATTCCCTCCTAGTTTCCTGAACGCTTCACTATTGCCACAATACAGCTACCATTCTCACATGTAAGGTAAGTAAGATTTAAACCTTTCCAGTTGCCTAATATTGAACTTCCAATGTGTATCTGGTTCTCTGAATATCACTTCATATGCATTTTCCAGTGCCTGTTAATGACAAGAAATATTAAGCATCAGTGGAAACCTAGTGTGTCAACTGCTAAAAATCTTTTAATAATAATAATAATCTCGCTAGAATTGTGTGATTTCCTCTGTCGCTACTCTGTAGCATAATACCATGCATATTTCATATTCTGGGGCTTAATTAAAGCATTAAATGAATAAAGTAAATGCCATGATTTAGATAACTATGCCAGCTATTCTGTGCCAGCTTCATCCCATGAACAATGACTTGAATAAGTAATTAATCTAAATGGGGATAAATTTGGATTAGAAGGGGAATGTAAAGTAGGGAAACCAGATGAAAGACGCCAAGTTTGTTAGAAACAGCAATGGCAGGTCGGTCCATTGACTTCCGCCTCAATCCCCAAATCAACATGATTAAAGAATGTAAAGAACATCTAATTTAGCTCAGTTGGTAGAACTCTTGCCTCTGGCTCAGAAGGTTACATGTTCAGGACTTGAGCTCCCAGTCCAGACAGACTCTCCAATCACTGCTGGGGGCGCAAAGCAAGGCATGGTCGAAGGTGCCGTCCTTCGGATGAGTTGCTCAATATAAATCAGATAAATTAGTCATTCACTTCATGGCTGTTTGTAGGACATTGATGTGTGCCAATTGGCTGCCGTGTTTGCCTACAGATATAGTTACTTGACAGTAATTAACAGAAAAAGGATCATTACTTTAAAATACATGTACTGTATCAAGGATTATTACTAGCTTAAAATACACACCAAAGTATACATCAGAAGCAATTTGAGGGCAAACCTAATGAGCAGTATGAATTTATAAACAACCTGCAACAGTAAGTATGTATGACATGATCATTTGACAGGGCACACTGCAGGCAATATTATACAAATGCAACAAAGAAATATGTAAACTAGAATTCGGCAGAACACAAAACCAGAAGGCTAAAAAACAGTTTCACAAAGCCTATTTTGTTGTCTTTAATTATGTTTTACATTCGTAAAATAACACTTGAGAATCTGATACATACCAAATGCACATATGGTTTCATTTCCCATGCTTGAATGTTGGTATTGTCTATGATAATTGGAGTTTTTCCTCGCTTCATGGCAGCTTTGGCTGGAATAAGTGCATTGCATATATATGTATTAATATAGAACATTTCAAGTTATTCAGTTGTGACATTAAACAAAATGTTAATTTAGAAATACCCTAAAATGAATGTTTTAGTTATCACCTCTTTCAAAGTTCCATTCGTGAGCATCACCAAGTAAATCCCTCTCAAATAAATAGGAGCCATCATCTCTGACAAAGTAATCGTCAGTGCTGAGGATCACTGCAGCAGGAAATTGATGTTTCAGGCTCCTGAATAAGTAAGAGAGAAACTATTAGTGGTAGTTCATTAAACATTTCACTCTAAATTTGTAACAATAAGGTGATTAAGCTATACATAAATATCTTGTGATAATGGTCTTTAAGGGAAATTGGTTAGTATAATAGGATAACACACTGACTATCTCAACACCTCCAGAATCTGGGTCTGTATCCAGGCCAAAGTGAGGAGATAATCAGCTCTGAACTGAACTCAGTCAATCTCAAGTTACCTGCTGGTGCGAGTTCGCAGCACAAACATCGATTAGCACTCAACATTAGTTTGAAGTTTCATATTCCAAAAACCTTCACGATTGCCCGGTGTGAGAAATGGAAATGACTCACAGCTTCAGTAGGGTCTGCTCTGCGTGCTTAAGGTCACCTCCTCCCTCCCCCCGGCAGGGTATCAGGCTCCGCCACTGTAATCGCTCTGAGACACTGCCCCTCATGAAGGGCGCTATATAAATGCAAGGTGCTGTTGTTGCTCTTCTAAAGTTGGAAGTGAATGCACGTCATTGTAAATTTTACTCTCCACCTGGTCTGTGAGCCTTCCCCTCCTTGTACAAATAAACAGTCCTACAAAATTGACCAAAAGTTCCTATCCATCACAAACTAAATGATAGAAAAGCTGCTTGAGCTCTCGGCACTGTTTGTAATAAAACATACATATATTGTGATGGACACCACTGCTGAAATAAATCAACTTTCATAGATATTACGTGCTCAAATATAACTGTTGATGGAGCAATGAGAAAATTCCAATTACAATAATAAATCCCAATATGTCTCTCATCTTGCTTGGGGAGAGAGTGCACACTCCATTCCAATAAACATTGGAATCCCATATGTAGGTGGGTTGAATGGAATTCTCAATTTGGTTTAGATAGTCTTAAGCTCATTGATGGATTTCCGTGTGTGTCAGACACCCGGCTGACCAAATAAAATGAATCCTGCTAAGTGCTTTCAGAAGTGCGGCCGATGTGAAAGTTGCTCTATCAAATGCAAGGATTATTATCTTCCAGGTTAGTCTAAAGTGGTTGAACCCTGGTTGAAATAAATGCAGCTATTTAGTACACCATTGTTCAAGATAACGCTCATATTTATTTCATTCTGCACAAGAGCCCCTAATTTCTTGTGCAAAAATAATTTCCAAATTTAAAAAAAATTGCTGAAACAGGCTTTGTATGATCATTTTTAATTGAAAGATTTTTCTAAATTGCGAAAGCTGTGGCAGAAATGACACAGGAAATAACTATGAGCAGTATTTCTAGATATGGTGCTTGCAACTCACGATTTCTACTTTTGAGTTAGCCCTCCTGCGCAAACTTCCTGCATTGACAAGATGCAAGTCATACCCCTTAGTTCCCGTCAACTTCTCTCCTGTGGCTCTGACCTCCTCAATCTCCCCAGCCTTTCTCTGAGACTTACAAATCTGTACACAACCTCGGTGTTAGCTTCGAACCCCAGCTGTCCTTCCTACTCCACATCAAATCCCTGACCAGGACCAGCTTTCCTCCAACTCTGTCATATGGCCGGCCTCCGACTGTACTTCACGCCCAATGCAGCCGAGATCCTCATCCACACTTTGGTCCCCTCCTGCCTCCACAATTCCAATATACTCTTCGCCGATCTCCCCACCTCCACTATCCACAAAATTCAACTAATTCAAAATTCTGCCACCCGTATACTCGCCTACTCCAAACTCCATAGCATCTCCCTATCGTTCCGGCCTGCAATCATGCTTTCAGCCACTATGCCCCGGAGCTTTGGAACTCTCTCTGTCAATCTCTCGGTCTTGCCCCCTCCATCCCCGTTTTTATATTGTGCCTTCCTCTTTGACAGTGCTTATGGTCACTTCCTCCCTCCCCCCCGCTCAGTGTCAGACTGCCAGTGTTAAGCGCTCCGAGACATTGCTCCTGTGTAAATGCAGTTGCTGGACCTCTACCTGATTTTGGAAATAGTGTATTCATATTATAACCCCTTTTGCGTAATCAAGAGCTTAATCTGTTCTTTGCAAACTTCTTGACAGCTGTGTAATACATTTTCTAATTCACACCTAAAGGTCCTGTGACTTTTTTTTCGACATCATTTGTTTAAAATACAGCTTATTTGTATTATATAACATTTTCCTACATATTTTACACTGTAGGGATTCAGTCTAACTCGCACTTTTCCCAGTAACTGCTCCAGGAAGCACACGAGAACGCTTAAAGCACGTTTGCGAAGAAAAAAACAAGAGGAAAACATCTAATATCTATCCCAACCACTCTCAGTGCATTGCATTCACCCAATATGATGATGACCCAAACAGCAAACCAACGTGTATGTTTTCAGCATTGAAACCACTGAACTGTTTCGTTAAAAAAAAAGCAGAGCCGAGACAAAAAAAAACATATCTAAATGATACAATCACAAAGGGTCAGGTCAGACAAAACCTGAGTGAAGACACTGCCCACAAACCTGAGTGAAGACACTGCCCACAAACCTGAGTGAAGACATTGCCCACAAACCTGAGTGAAGACATTGCCCACAAACCTGAGTGAAGACATTGCCCACAAACCTGGGTAAACATATTGCCCACAAACCTGGGTAAACATATTGCCCACAAACCTGGGTAAACATATTGCCCACACACTTGGGTGAAGACACTGCCCACAAACCTGGCTAAGGTGGTCTTCCCAGACCCCGGAAGTCCCCGCAGTAGATACAGATGTTTTGTGCTCCTGGAGCCTCTGTGTCTGTGTCTGGAGCGGTGTCTGGAGCTCAGGCTCAGGCTCTGCAGTGACTGCAGGAGCTCAGCCGACATCTCTCAGCACCCGCTGGGGATCTCCATTTGGGTGTAAAAGCACTTGATTGTGGTGTATTTTTTCCGGTGGAGGACAAAGCACGTGATTTAAAGGGAAACCTTCATAAGGAAATGACGCGGAATGAGCTGAGTTTGCAGTCACATGGTGAGGGCTGGTGCTGGAGTGCTTCTGGGGCTGCAGGGAGGGAGCTGTGAGCTGCTTCTGCCCAACACTCACTCACCTCACACTCTGACAGCAGCTTAGGTCGTCCCCTCGTGGGCCAAGGAACCATCCACGGTTGCGAGAAGGGTTAGATGCCCACCTCTCTGTCTTGACCCCACACTTCATTTGCAAATGTACACATTGCCCTCGCGAGGGAGCCTCCCGTCAGGCTTCGGACAAACCGCATTGTATTGTGGTGTGATAATAATATTATAATAATAATAAATAATAATCCTTGCATTTGATGTAGCAGCCTTATCACGTCTTCGAGACGTCTCAAAGCGCTTCACGGGATATAATCCCTCCAAAACCAAAAACAATATAAATTGGTCATTTTCAATCTATGACTGTTTGTAGGACATTGCTGTGCGCAATTGGCTGCCGCGTTCGCCCACAAATATACAGTCAACTCACTTTACAGTGTGTTCTGTGAAGCGCTTTGGGATGTCCCCCTGACATGAAAAGCGCTATATCAAATGCAAGGATTATTATTATTATTATTATAATGCAAAGTGAAATGACTATATTTTGTGGGCAAAATTCTGCAGACAATTATGATGGATAACCAGAGCTATCAATATCAATGAGATACTTGGGAGGGAGATTAATGAAACCGGGGATAAGTCCAGTGGCGCCAAATACATTTTTAATTTAAATCGGAAAGTGAGGAGTAATTTTTCGAAACTCGTAATGATAATCCTTGTATTTGATTTAGCACCTCATCACCGGTATTATAAAATCACCGGAGCACCTCAAGTCTTATTATGTCTTTCTTGGGATGTGGGCAAAGCTGCATTCTTAGATTGCCCTGAGAAGATGGTTGTGGGCCCTTCTTGTAAAACGATTGCAATCATGGCGTTAATGGTGCTCCACACTGTTGTTCATTAGGGAGCATTAGGATTTGAAACCAATCCCTGACAAATGACAAATTTTACTAAGAGTCTTTAACACCAGCACAACATACAAGTGATTTTTTTTATACAGGCTGCTAGCTGACAATTAAGTACAAGTAATTTAATGGAATTTCTATGACGACAAAGTAAAATCAAAAGCTGCTTTACAATCCTAAACTCAGAGGTTATAGCAGCCACAACCAACCCAGGTGCACTTTGAGCAGTGACAATGGTTAAAGGGTAACCATTCCAGTGATGTGCAACCTAAAAATAAACTAGAGACAGCTGCAACACACTTCAGCCTTCTGCTCGCTCTTTTCTTGCTTAGAAACTTTGGTAATTATGTTCCAGGTAGAAAAACATCTTTTAACTTTAAAGAAAATTCCCTTTCCTTTTGAACTCACATATATATCCAGGAATTACACTCGGAATTAGAAAAACATTGTTGAACGGCCATCCAATTCATTCACTAGTTATTCTGTTATTTTTTAAATCATGAACTAATAGAAACCAACCTGCATTAAATATAGCTAAACTAAATCGACCCTTACTACCACTTTTTTTCCATTTATTTTCACTTGTCTGTGGCACAAACTATTCTGTGTCTAAGAGGGCAACTCTCCCAGGCTTCCACTGATGACTTTCTTCATCTTCACTGCAGGGTTAGAGACTGACTCATATCAAGCAATAGTGAGGTATATCTGATGACCTCAAATTTAGTGGCTACGTTTGTTTTCTTAACCAACAAATCCAAGAATAAACTCTTTCTTGTACCTGGTAGAAAGTCAGATGAATTTAACAGAAATCCGCTCCAAAATTGGATAATTTGTAACAGTTTCCTGAAAGATAGCAGACATTTCTAAATTAATAATAATATTATTTCTTAATTAAGAAATATAAGAAAAGTGAAAATGTATGACCATTAAACACACACGCATACACACACACAATGATTTACTGTGGTTATGCACACCAAATTCCAATCAACAAGACATAAAAAACAGATCATTTTACCACTTGTTTGAATCATTTTATTGCATATTTTATTATATTGCATAGTTACACTTGTTGCAATGCAAACACAAAGCAGATCAGTTGCAGAAGGTTTAAACTTTTTTCCATTCAAGAATAACATACTTAAATGTAATAAGTGCATACTTGCCTGGGAATGTTATATTGGTTTCACCTGTACATTGGCAGAGAGTTTAACTTTGCCAATAAACAAATACATAATGGACAGAATATATTTTAGATTTAGTTCATATTAATTTGATTCATGCACAAACATAACTTATAGTAAAAGCTGCTCAAAGATTTGACATTAAGAATCTATTCCGCTGAAATTAGTTTGGTTGGGGCCGTTATTAATAAATAGCATTTTTATAGAGAACAATCTGTAAAGTTACATTTACTTACAAAAATTAAGTAAGCGCTGGGTTTGTTTCTCCGCTATCAGTATAGTTACCATCTCCTTCCCCTCCCTTAACAATAGCTGGGTTCAGAAATGCAGATCAATTAGCCTTTCCATCTGCAAGGTCAAGGCTCATGTAACAATAGCTACTTGGGCAAAGCTCTTATGGAATCAGATCGAGGAAACATTGTTATGGAGAGAGGAAAAAATAAACAGAATAGATTTTACAATGGCAGAAAAGCAACAACTTACTGCATAATATTCATCAATAATTTTGGAAATCCTCTTTAGTCAGCTGATGTCTGATACATGCAGAAACCCACCACCATGCTATGACTATCCATCCAGGACCAGGAGTTCTACACATGAACATTCCTCCTCATCTGGAATGGCACAGGGAAACTTCACAACAATTTTGTGAACCAAACATCATCAAAATAATTTCTCTAAATTCTCCAGTGCTTCCACAGCAATTTCTTTTGACTCGCTTTGAAGAATTCAAGACCTGCGACTGAAAGTATAATTGACCATTAGTGTCCACATTATATGCGTATGCCACGATTATAAAAACTATGATTTAATGAAAGAAGTTTTACGATTCAAAATTTATAGAATAAATTATACCCACACACCATGGACCCTTAGATAATTACCCCCTTTTTAATCCAAGAGTGTAGGTCAATTGCAGTATCCCAACTAAATTGTGGAATGTTAATGCAGACCAACATTTCAACCTACAACTTTGCAGCCTGTGTGGCCTAGTTTTGAATTAAATCATTTACTGCTTAAGCCTTAAGAGGAACTCAGCATGAATAATTGTTCATGAGTTCTATAATCTCATATTAATCGTAATATTATCAAATCAATCCAAATTCTACATTAGTTTTTCTTAATAAAACAGACATTAGAGCTAATTTATGGTGAATGCTGTTCGACCTCGATTCTCCTTTTAAATCTTTCATCCAGGCTCTGAGTAAGTCTGCTTTCCTCCATTTCCAGGACATTGCCCACCTCTACTACTTCCTTACTCACCCGCAAATATACAGTCAATTCACTTTACAGTCTATTCTGTGAAGCGCTTTGAGATGTCTAGAAGACGTGAAAAGCGTTACATCAAATGCAAGGATTATTATTATTATTACTCCCAAAGCAGCCAAACCCCTCGTCCACACCTTGGTCGCCTCTATATTCGATTTTTTCAACTCCCTATTCACAGGCCTCCCCATGTCAGTGCCTCCCTCGATAATCTCTAGATCATCTAGAAGATAGAGCTCAGGCTCCATGAGTTTATCTTCCCCATTTCTCACCCAACTTCACTGGCTCAACTTTATGATCTTTGTCCTTGCCTTCAAATATCTCCACAGTCTTACCTCTGATCTCCTGCAGCTCATCTGGGCTGCTGAATGCTCTGTACCTGGTCTGTATATCCTCAGGGGATGACTTTCAGCCACATTGCCCTCAATCTCTGGAACTCTTCCCAAATTCTTCCCCTTGTCCTTCTCAGATTGCTTTCAAAATCCATCTAAAGACCTCAGGCTTTTACTGAGGCTGCTCTCTCCCTCTCAGCTCAGGCTTTGTGGAGATGCTCTCTTTACATGAAAGATGCTAGGTTTCTCACTTATACGTTATAAAAGAGGTAATGGAAACCTCTGTAAAACAAGGCAGTGAACTTAGTACAAAATGTAATGATTTCTAGTATTCTGAATCATGTAACTGGGTTATTGCCTTAATTCTTATATTGCAGGCATGTTTAAAATGTCCTTTTCCTGGGCTGAGTACCCCTATACATTTTCAGATTACACATCGTAATGCTGAAAATTATATAGTAATAAAACTGCTCTAACAAATATCAATACTGAATGTGCTCAGGGACCCCATATGACAGTTTGTTTTTGCAAAGAGCAATTGTATTTATGGAATATGAACATATTTAAGAGAAAAGGTGATGCCTACATAATGGAGAATGGAATAGAGGGTTATGGGAGAGGGACAGGCTCATGTGGGTATAAACACAAGCATGGACTAGTTAGGCCAAATGGTCCATTTCCATGCTGTAACATCCTCTGCAATTACATGCCAATAAATTATAACCATCACTGGACACTTGTAACCTGCAAAATCTGCTGAAGACCTTGCCACTCTAAACTCATAGCAAGTTGGACTAATATTTGTTGTTTATTCATTTTATGTGTTTAACACAAGCAACATGTAATCAATACTATAATGGCAGGCCTACCTTTTGCTTCTTGAACGGTCTAATTATTTGTTGGAACATTTCTTCAAGCTGATGTGAACTGTGTATTGGATGAATGAGTAACTGAATCATATTTGTCCATCTGTTCCCAATCTTCGTCACTGTTCAATCTTCTGTCATGTTGTAAATCTATCAGAGTTGAAGATTCAGTTTTGTTATCTAGATTCCATTTGATCTCTTCATTTATATCTAAGAGTAGCAGATCCTTTTTTCAGGTAGATACGCACACAGAAATTATCAATGCAACTTTTCATTCATTAGTCAGAATTGTTCACTTAATCAGAATTAGCAGTCTTAATGGATTGTACTTTACCAATT